TGTGGCAATCGCAGGGCGATGATGAAGCCGATGCTCTCCCGAATTGGGGCAGCAATGGGCAGCATAATGGGTGCCGTTTCCGGCGGCCTCGCGTGCCGCGGCGCGCGACGCGCGGCCCTCATGGCGCGCCCCCTCGTTCGACGGCGATAGGACGGACCGATGGAGGCGGCCTGCTACCCGGTGGCCATCGTGTCGAACGCGCTCACGCGGCGCTACCGGTCCCTGCTCTTCGTGGCGCTGGCCGTGGCCTACGCGGCGGTGCTGAACGTGACGGTGCTCATGCCGTCGTTCCTCGTGACGAACGTGAGCCTCATCGGCATCGACGACATCGGCATCGAGCGTTTGGAACTTCGAGGCTTCTCGGAGAACGCGCTGATCCTGAGCGGCGAGTACACGCTGCACGTGCAGATGCCCGCGACGACGGCCTACGACGATCTGCGCCTGAATTTTCGGTACGTCGTCCCGGGGACGCCGGACGTCGCCGCGCTCGGCGACTTCTCGATCCCGCCCTTCCACATCCTGCCGGGCGGCGAGTCCGTCAACGTCGTTCTCGACCACTTCCTCTACGAGTACGACCCCAAGGCCCTGCGCCGCTTCTACGACTACACGCAGTCGCCGGCCTACGGCGCCATCGTCATGCTCTTCGACGCGGACGTCCACGGCGTCATGAAGCCGGGCCTGCCGATCACGTACCACCTCAACATGGCCTATCGGTTGAAGGCCCTCGTGCGCGTCCTCAAGGACTGGTACGCGAGGCGCCAACAGGCCCGCCACACGCCGCCGCCGTCGCCCCGGCTCGTAACGTCCTAGTACCAGAGGCAGGTGTTACACGTGGGCCCCGAAGAAGGCGAGCGCGTCGTCCACGGTGGCGCCCTCGCCGGGATCCGCGCCGGGCCGCCGCCGGTGGTGGAGCCCCGGGACCTCGTGGGCCAGGGCGTGGTGCACGCAGAGCGTCGTGTTGGCCGCGCAGCCCAGGCCCGTCGCGCACGTGACGCGCGCGTCGTCGCGGACGGTGGCGACGCCCCGGCCGCACCGGTTCGCGGAGCGCCACAGGTCGAAGACGCGCTGCACGGGCCGGCACTCGCGGCCCCAGGCGTCGTCGATGCCGCAGCAGCAGCGCGCGCCCGCGCAGCAGCCGCCGGGCCGCACGACGCCGTCGCGCGCGCCGTGGCTCAGGAAGATGGGCGTCGGGGTCGCGTTCGCCAGAATTTCATAGGTATGCCCGCCGAAGGGCGCAACGGCGTCGAAGAGCCCCGGCACCTGGGCGGCCGCCGACACGAGGAAGCCGCCGTTGGAGAAGCCGAGCCCGAAGACTCTGCGGAAAGTCGCGCGGCGCCGCGCGGCGTCGACGACGGTTCGTAAAAAACCGACGTCGTCGACGCCCGCCGCGAGCGACGGGCCGCAGCATTGGTGCCCGTTCCACGACGCGTCCAGTCCAAAGGGCGCGGCGGCGACCCAGCCCCGCGCCGCGACGCGCTGAGCCGCGGACGCCCACATGTGGGGGCGACCCGTGAAGCCGTGGACGAAGACGACGAGCGCGTCGGCGTTGCGCGCGTCCTCCGGCGCCCAGAGGAGGAAGCTCCGGTCGCCGACGCGCACGGTCTCCGCGCGTCCGCCCGCCTCGCGCAGGGCCCGGCCCGCCGCGGGCGGCGCGCCGGGCAGCCGCGACGACGCGTGCTCCAGGAGGAGGAAGCGGAACGCGCCCACCCAGCAGACGCAGGCCGCCAAGGAGGCGAGCTGCGGCCAGACGGGCCGCGCCGGCCGCGGCCGCATCGTCACGGTCCTAGGCGCCCCGCGAGAAGCGCATCGGGGCAGCCATGAGCGCCCCTCAGGAGGTCATCATCTTTTCTTGACGTTCTTCGCGGCGATGATCTCGATCGAGTGCTGCTGATCGATCGTCGCCTGATCCGCATCTCCCAACCGACGAGTGAATTTGTAAGCGCGATGGGCAAGCGCGAGAAGGCGGCGAAGCCGGCGAAGGTCGTCACGGAGGCGACCTTCGACATGGAGGCGCGGCGCCAGTGGCTCACGGGCTTCTCGAAGCGGAAGCGCGAGCGGCGCATGAAGGGCCTCGCCTACGGCGCGTTGAAGGAGCGCCAGGAGAAGCTCGCGACGCGCGCGGCCCTGCGCTCCGGCCGGCCGAAGCCCGCGCCCGAGCCCGCGGCGCCGGCACCGGCGCCGGCGCCGAGGTCGACGGTCGAGTACGCCGACGCGGGCGTCCTCGACCAGTGGGGGAGCACCGTGACCGTGACGACGACGCTGGGCCTCGACGTCGACTCCGAGGACGAGGGCCTCGCGGCCGCGCGCGACGAGCCGCCGGCGAAGCGCGAGGACGCCGCGCAGGTCTGGGCGAACTCGCTCGACGCGATGAAGAAGAAGGTCGCGCCGAAGATGGGCCGGTCGGCCAAGTCCGTGAACCGGGCCGCGCGGAAGCGCGACGCGAACCCCCACTACAAGGGCGCGAAGCGGGGCGCGGACGCCAAGAGCCTCGTCGAAAAGGCCGCGAAGAAGGGCCGGAAGAAGAAGTAACGACGACCCTAGGAAATTAGCCTGGCGAAGTCGCCGGCCTCGACGGCGGCGAGCGTCGCCGGGTCGCACCAGAAGTCGAGCTGGCCGAAGACGTCGGGGATATTCGCGCCGTAGCCGCGGCCCACGACGGCCGGGTTCTTGCGCAAAAAAGCGTCGCAGTACGCGTTGCCCGCGCACTCGCACAATACGCGTGGGACTGGCAGTAGCTGCAGGTCTCCGGCAGGCCGGCGTAGGCGGGGCAGAGCGCGAGGACGTCGGCCGTGACGCCGTCGATGGCGACGGCCGGCGGGTCCGGCGCGGCCGCGGCCGCCATGTCGGGCCGCGACGGAGCGAAACTGCCCGCGCACAGCTCCGGCAGCGCCGCGACGGCCTGCCACTTGCACACGTCGTACCAGTAGTATCCGTCCGCCCCCCAGGCCGCCGCGCAGCTGTCGACGGCGTCGCCGTAGCGCGCGGCGTCCGCGTCGAAGAGGCAGCCCTCGTAGCCTCCGGAGCCGCCGCAGTAGCCGCCCAGCGCCGCGCGCTCGTAGTCGGAGCACGCGGCCCAGTTGAAGTCGCCGCCGGCCGCGGCGCACATGTCGTCGACGTAGGCCCGCGTCGCCGCCGCCCGCGCCGAAGGTTGTGTTGTGATAACCTCGGCCTCGAGGGCCTCCTCCTCGACCTCGGCGCCGGCGCCGGGCCGCCGCCGGGCGGCGACGGCGACGACGGCGCTCGCGCCGACGACGGCCGTCACGAGGCCGACGACGCGCCGGGCGCAGAAGCGGCGCTTGCCCCGCAAAAGCGGGCGGGCTTCGTCGACCATGCTCCTTGAGAAAGGGCTGCTTCGAAGGTGTTGAACGGACGGCAAGCAAGACTTAGTAGTGAGAGCAAGCAACGTCGTCCATGCTCCTCTCGTGCTCCTTGAGAAAGGGCTGCTTCGAAGGTGTTGAAGTTCAACTTGAACGGACGGCACTGAGAGCAGGCAATGGGCTCTCCTCCCGCAGCGGAGGTCCTCTCTGAGAGCAAAGCAATGGGCTCTCCTCCCGCAGCGAAGCGTCGTCGCACCGACGGTGACCGTTGCAGCAGCGACGACGCGGTCCTCGAGGGCTCCGACGCGGTCCTCGAGGGCTCCGACGCGGTCCTCGAGGGCTCCGACGCGGTCCTCGAGGGCTCCGACGCGGTCCTCGCGCTCGCGGCGCGCTGCGCCGCCACGCCCGGCGCGCCGGCGGCCGCCGAGCTCTTCGCGCACCTCGCGGCGGCGCTCAGCGAGACGGCGCCGCCGCCGGCGGACGTCGAGGCCTACCGCGCGGCGCTCGTCGCCGTCGCGCGCGCCGGCGCCGCGGCGCGCGCCGCGGCCGGGCGGCACCGCGCCGCCGTGTGTATGATAGACGGCGCGTACCTCCGGTGCCGCGACGCGGGCGAGCGGCGGCGGCTCTCCGGCGAGGCGGAGGCGCTGCACGGCGCCGCGCTCGCCGAGGCGGCCGTCGAGGCGCCGGACGCGTGGCCCGACGCGTCGCTCGACGCGGCGCCGCCGGCGGACGGGCTCGCGCGAGTCAGGCGGACCGCCGACGCGGCGGACGCCGTCGCTCGAGCGGCGCCCGCGGTCCTCGAGGGCGCCGTGGGCCACTGGCCCGCGCTCGCGGCGTGGCGGTCGCCGCGGGCGCTCGTCGCCGCGGCGGGCGCGCGGCTCGTGCCCGTCGAGGTCGGCGCGAGCCACGGCGGCGGCGCCGGCGGCCGCGCGCAGCAGCGGCTCCTGTCGCTCGGCGACTACGTCGCCGCGGTGCTCCTGCCCTTGGCGCGCGGCGACGCGCCGACGCTCGGGCCCCTGGAGGCGCCCGTCGCCGTCTCCGAGGTCGTGCCTGTCACCTCCGCGGCCACGCCAGCCTACCTCGCGCAGCACGACCTGCTGGCCCAGTGCCGCGCGCTCGCGGCCGCCGCGCCGTGGCGGGCGACCTTCGGCGACGTCGTGCGCGCCGGGCCGCGGGCGCGCGCGGGGTTGGAGCCCGTCGTCTCCGCGTGGGTCGCGCCGCGCGGCGTCAGCACGCCGCTCCACTTCGACCGCCACCCGAACCTGCTCGTCCACCTCGTCGGCGCGAAGCGCGTCCGCCTCTGGCCGCCGGGCGCGGACCTGCCGCGGCACGCGGCGCCGGCGGACAACACGTCGCCCCTCGACGCGCGCGACGTGCCCGGCGCGCTCGCCGCCGACCTCGCGCCGGGCGACGTGCTCTTCGTGCCCGAGGGCTGGTGGCACTTCGTCGAGACGCCCCGGACGTCCATCTCCATCAGCATCTGGTACTAATTAGCGCGGCCCGACCTTGAAGGTAAATGAAACGCCCCAAAACTCGAATCAGCCACGGGGCCTCCACCACAGCCTGTCGCTCTCGTCGTCGGCGGCGGATCGGGGGCAGCCGGAGGCCGGGGCCGGGCCGGCGGTCCGAGATGGGCGGCGACAACGAGGTGGACGTGATCCTGCGCGTCGCCCGCGTCGGACCGCCGCCCCGCCGCCGGGCAGCGCTTTTCCGGGCCCATCGCCGGAGCCGCCCCGCGCCCTAGGTACAAGAAGAACTCGGAGGTCGCCGTGCGCAGCGAGTCGTTCCGCGTGCCCGGGGCCGTACGAGAGCCGGCGTCCGTTTCATGCGTTCCGCCTCCGACGCCGCCGTTCGCAGGCCGGCGGCTCGCCGCGCGACGTCTTCCGCCTGACGACGGCCGAGGACCTCCAGAGCCTCGTCGCGGACCGCCTGGACCTCACCGAGGCCGCGACGCTGTCCGCGAACGCGGCGTCGACGAAAGCCGACAGTTTCCCTTGAGAAGCCGCTCCCTCTTCCTAGGTACCGGCCGCTCGTCGACCGGCCGCTCTGGTTCCGCGGCGTCGACGCCGTCGGCGTGGGCAACATGTCCTGGAAGCGGCTCCGGGAGCGCTTCCTCTCGGAGATCGAGACGGAGGACGACGTGAGCGCCGTGCTCCGCGGGGGCGGCGCGCCCCGGTTCCTCGTGGCCATCCTCGACGGCGACGACGACGCGTTCCGCGCGCATTCGCCGTCGTCGCTGCTCTCGACGCCGCGGCGCGTGTCGCCCCACCGCGTCACGCCG